ATGCTGATGGTCCTGTGCCCTCTCCCCTCTGGCCTGGAACTTACTATGTGGCCCATGGTGACTCTTCTTCAGTAGCTGCAATGATAGACCTGCCACCACAAAGGTCTCTCTTAGGAAACTGTATGAGCCACATTTATTTGGTGACAGGGTCCTCTGGGATCTAGCTCTCAAGTCTTGACATTGCTCTCAGTGATGGTCCATGTCAGCCAGAGGACATTTTCTTCATTGCAACACAGTTAAGCCAACTATCATTCATTCATTTACATATTGTTCATTTAAGTTTAGATTCTACCTCATTCATTCACTTATTCATTTAGGTTTCAATTCCTCCTCATCACAACTCCTAAAAATCTTCTTGAGTTCTCTCCAGTGAACACATTCCTTTGAAGCCTATCTCAGAGGCCTCGTCAGCATTAAATTACACCTTTCTCTCCTAAGTTTCACCACACAATTTCCCCGTGTCTTTTCAAATGCAACCTCTAAATCTATTTGCATATCCTGGGTCACCGGAATTCCCTTTTGACAAATGATTATGATGTCAGCAAGTCACCAAAGCATATTTACCATTTTCAAGGAATTTATGGAAAAGTAGAAGCAATAAAAACCACAATAAATCATGAAGCTGGGTTTTTCTAAGGATAGCTGTCAACCTGTGCCTCCCAGCCCAGCTACAGTTAGTTTAGATGCCATCAGGCTCTCATGTTCCCATGGCAACCAGCATACACTCATAAATTTACACACATATGTTAAGAGTGGGGAATGTTCTGCACAGCAGCAGGAAGAGCCAGGTCTACCCAGCTGCACTGTGGACCAGATGGGTGGTCTGTGCACCTTCTATAACTGAAGCATTTTTTCACAACTCTGTCATTGATCCTCAGGCTGTGTGCCTCTGAATCACTGACATCAGCTCTAGCTTCTTTAAAGTGCATTTTCCTGGGCTCCTTCTAGAACTACTGGATGGGAATCTATGAGAACCGAGAATCTCCTTTTTAACTATGGACTGGTGATTCTTGAACACATTGACTTCTGAGAGCCATAGGACTCTACGACCCCCTCGAATGAAATAAAGACATGAGTGCTCCAAGGTACGGTTGAGGAGAAGGGTTTTAGTGTCGATATGACGGAGAGGAGAGCCAGAGGCGTCTGGAAGAATCCAGAGCAGGGGAAGAGAGTAGACTAAACAGGGCCATGAGAGGAGAGAGAGGGAGAGAGGAAGGGGAGAAAGAGAGAGGGAAGAGGTCCAAGAGAGAGGGACCGAGAGAACAAAGAGGGCAAAAGAGAACCAAGAACGGAGCCAGAGTGCAAGGACTGAAGTGGTGGGGTTATACAGGACATGAGAAACTGGGGGAGGGAGGGGAAGCCCCGCCTGGAGAGGTTTAGGACACCGAATAAGCCTCGAGGCCGTGTACACGCTGGTGTACCTCTCCTGCACATTCTCATGCAGCTCACAGCCTGATCACTGGACTCCAAAAATGATCACAAAAATACCTGAGCATTAGGCAGGCAGAATGTATCTTCAGAATACTCCGGCCTTCCTACCTGAAATAAGGCAGTATTCTTGGGACAGAGCGGTAAATGAGATAAAAACAGAACCCTTGCAGAGTTCTCTTCTTACACATGAGAGCAAAGGTCATGCATTGCTGACTAATATAAAATAAATGGGTTTTCAAAACATGATAGAAGATGGTGAGGTGGAGAATGAATAAACCGAGGTGGGGGGGCCAAGGTGGAGAGCTGGTCAAGTTTCTGCTACATTATGTGCATCCTTCAAACAGCTTACACACTTATTACAAAGACCTGATTGGTGGAACCAATCGTGCATGCAGTGGATGTTGAGAAGGAGCTGGGGGCATCTGGTGGTCTGACTAGACTCTCTTTAAGGCTGGTGCACTACCGTTCACTCCCCTTCAACCCCCCCCCCCAGCCCTCTACTTCTGTGGTGGCTCGGTGACTGACCGCCACGGCCCCTTGCCTCACCGTGGGTCAACTGGGTGGTGTCATTGTGTTCAGGGGCTGTGTCTTGCTCCCCTCCCCTGTCTTGACAGTAGTCTCTGACCTGTCACTTGCCTAGGAAGCCTGGGTAGTGTCACCAGGGTGTTAGACTGAGTGTGGACTCGGGTGGCCCTAACAAGCAAGGCTCTGCCACCCTTCCTCATAGGCCAATTAACAGTGAGGACAGAGAAAAGAAATTGTGGCCACACTGGGAGAGCATCAAAGAGGTCCTGTGACTCTTACAATCCACCTTCGAAGTCCTGACTCAATGTTGAGGTTTAGAGGGCCAGCATGTGCATAAGGAGGCAATCCTGGGCAAGGCGTTGACCGCCCGTCACCATCGCCTGGACTCTAGTCTGCCCTGCAAGGCGGCTGACAATTTGTCACAACTACATGACTCTTTCTGGGAGACAAGCTCACCCTTTGGCTGAGACCTGGCTTCAGCCTGTTTCTTCCTGCCGTGTGAGATTCATGAGAAAACTCCAATTCTTGGGGTTCATTGTCTCTGTAGTTTGGTAGTTAAAGGGAAGGGCACAAGGTTCTCTTTAGAATAACTTCATCTCCACCAGGATGGTTGTGACGGGGATCCCCAGATGGGTGTGGTGGTACTTGGGACGGGGGGGACAGGAGACTCAGGAGTCTAGGCCAGCCTTGGCTACATGAGACTGTCTCAGAAAAATACAAAAAGAGTAGAATTAATATGATCAAACCACATCGTATTAAGTTCCTAAATAATTAACAAAATGTATTTTGATTGAACACAAATTGTGTGTGTGTGTGTGTGTGTGTGTGTGTGTGAAAACAGGGATCCCCAATGGCTGGGTACCCCAGGGGGTCTACAGGCTGGGGCTGTTAGGCTTTCTCCGCTTGCTGCCAGCTTAGCTACGCAGTGTCTGAGGAGCCTGTCTTTCCAACCGGAAATGGTTGACGCTGCCGGCGGCTGTGCTGGCCTCTCCTCTCTCTCCCTTTTTCCTGAGGCCACAGGCATTCCCATGACCGTGTACCAAGAGATCAGAGGTCCACCCCAGACAGATTCCTTCAGCACAGTTGGAGCTGGTTAAGAGCATCTGCAGATCTGACACAGGAAGACTCCAAAGAACAGTTCTTTGGTACAAGGAACACCTCTAGCTGCTACCCTCAAGGGGCCTTGATGGGGTTCACTCTCTCTGCCAGCTAAATAATGAAAAGGCAGGAAAAATCTCAGGCATAACAAGCAGTGGCAGGGAATATCTCAGATACAGGAGATAGAATCATCCAGTGAGGACGGACAGACGGACACACACACACATGCGCGCTTGCGCACATGCAAACATGCGCACACGCACATACACACAGACACACGCACACACACATGCACATGCACACACACAGAGCAAGACCCTTTGCAAAGCGGGGTACTTGGGAGTCCAAAATCTGGTTTCTCTTTGAGGGCTGGGGGGCGTCTAAGGGTCTTTGTCCCCTAATATAGAGTTTAAACAAAGATGGGGAGGCTGACAGGGCCACAACTTAGGGATAAATATGTCCCCTGTCCAGAACTGGCCTTGAACTTGTTGGACAGATCCACTGCTGGGGGAGGGGAGCTTGCCACTGAGAGAAAAATCCAAGCCGGCAAGGCCTTGTTTCAAGCTGCCAGGCCTTTGTATCAGGTCAGGAGGGTGAGGCAGCGCTGGAAATTTGACATCTTTATTATTGAGCTGTGGACCCTCTCCCTACCCGGGCTCTGTCTAACTCCTGCATCAAACTTCAGAGGAAATGTACAACTTCTCTGCCTCTAGTGTGGCAGCTATGTTGGGCTTAGATAAGCATAGTAAGGCCCTTACCATCAGCCCTCAGGACACACTCTGCTGATACCCACCCCAAACTGATTTCACTTTGTGAATTATCAGCTGCTTAAGAAAATGTTCTAGACTGGGTGTGGTGGTGCATGCCAGCTCCAGGAGGTAGAGGCAGGCAGATCTCCAGGAGTTCGAGTTCGAGTGGAAGACCAGTCTGGTCTGTATAACACAATGGTTCCCAACCCATAGGTCACTACCCTTGGGGTTCAAACAACCCTTTCACTGGGGTCACCTGAGATCATCAGAAAACACAGATATTAACATTATGGTTCATAACAGTAGCAAAATTACAGTTATGAAGTTGCAACGAAAATAATTTCATGGTTTGGGGTCACTGCAACATGAGGAACTGTATTAAAAGGTCACAGCCTTAGGAAGGCTGGAACACCGATACAGTGAGTTCTAGGGCAGCCAGGACTGCACAGTGGGGTCCTGTTAGGAAAGAAGGAAGGAAGAAAGGAAGGTGGTGTTGTCTTTGCTCTTTTGGAGGGCCTACCACCCTGCTCTCAAATAAATCACATGCGGAGATTTATCCTTAATTATAAATGCCTGGCCTTAGCTTGGCTTGTTGCTAGCCAGCTCTTCTTAACTTAAATTATCCTTGTCTACCTTTGCCTCTGGGCTTTTCCTGTTCTCTTACTTCTATAAATCTTACTTTCATTCTTACTCTGTGGCTGGTTGTGTAGCTGGGTGGTTGACCCCTGATGTCTCCCTCCTTCTCGTCTACTTCTTCCTCTTACTCCCAGATTTCTCCTTCTATTTATTCTCTCTGCCTGCCAGCCCCACCCATCCTTTCTCCTGCCTTGCTACGTTCAGCTCTTTATTAGACCATCAGGTGTTTTAGACAGGCACAGTAACACAGCTTCACAGAGTTAAACAAATGCAACATTAAAAAAAAAGCAATACACCTTAAAATAATATTCTACAACAGGAAAGAGTGAAGGAGGGAAAATATTCGTGCTATTTGTATAGCAGCAGGAGGTTTTGTTTGTTTTTGAAGTCGGTGGGAGGGGGGGTTCGGGGCTCAAATCCAAGGTCTTCTAGAAGCCAAGCAGCTGTATCTCCGGCCCTGAGCCATTTCCCCCTGAGCGGATTTGATACATTTTGGCTCATAGAAATGAAGACTCCCATCCTCAAGGTCTCCTGGAGACAGAGGGCAGACAGGAGCATCAGGAACTGGTGCCAAAGTCTGCTCTGTTGCAACGTGAGAACACCGGCCAGTGGCTGTTGGAAGAAGAGTCTCTTTTTCCTTAATTCACTCCACTGAACCTTCTGCACATCAGACTGCCTTCCTTTCAGTGACGGAGCAGGCAGTCCTGACAGGCCTGTCAGCACAGCATTCTGGAGATATTTGCAAGATTAAAAAAAATGCTCGGAAGTTTTTTACTTTCAAACACATTTTGGAACATAATCTTGCTTTGTCCCTATCTTCTGGCCTTGAGGGAAGCCACGTTAAAGGGTACCCATCTGGGCAAGTTTAACATCAATAAGTGTGGGTCAAGCCGACTATGGGCTAGTCCCAGAATGCTGAGAGAAGCCAGGCACCAGCCTGAGCACGCTTGTTGGTCTCCAATCCCCAGAGCCCTTTCAGAGAGGTCCGCACCACTCTTTTTAATACAGGCAGAGACAGTGTGATTGACAAGGTTTCCAGAACGCACAAGAGACTAGCTTGGCACAGCGGTCTGTGGCCTTCTCATGCTGGTGCCTGCCCGGTAGGAGGAGAACCCCACCAAATTTAAATGGGACCCGGGGATTGGGGAAGAGCTGGAGACTCACTGCTGAACATTCCCTGCCTGCAGGAAGGGCTGCTTCTAGGTTAGTCCCGGACCAAGGTCTAGGACAAAGGGCTGCTGGCTCCCCCCACTACCCAGAAGGGCAGCCTGGAGCCCGCCAGTCCACTCAGCTAGCACAACAGAATCTCCAGGGGTTGGCAGTGTTGGGATGTGTCGGGGTCTCTGTAGATGGATCCTGCATTCTACTAGGTTCAGGAAATTGTAACGCTCTTGGTGTCCCTGAAGCACACTGGCGTGACAGTGACCTCGGTGGTTCAGAACCGCCTTGGCAGAGGGCAGGCGGGAGAATGGCTGGGTGTGGCATTTGGGTTGATAAAGTTGACCCCTGCCCCTGGTGACTTCTCTTGCCCTAGGAAAGGATGGCTTTCTTTACCCATCATCCCGGCAGGCACCAACTGGTACGCTTGTTCCCTCTTCCCTCCAGCGGCTGAGCCCAGGGTTGGGCCCCTGGAAAAGAGCATTCACAAGACACAAAAGCATAAGATGCAATCTGGAATTCGTGGGGTGGCTTTCGGCTCCCTCCTTCCGCCCCGCGGCTGTTTTGTGTGTGTGAGAGTAGCCGAATCCAGGCAGCCTTTTCTCAGCAGCAGCCTCCCTGCAACCCGCTCCCCCTCCCGGTGCGGGTGCCTTTATTCCACAACCACCCCATATGGAAGGGCTGTTTGCCTCTAAATGGCATAAATTGCTGTTTCTTTACTGCTCTTCTTACAAGAAACTGCCCTGAACGTGGCGTGAAGGACTTCCCGTCTGCAGCCTTCCCCAGACATTGCTCTTTTTTCCCTTTTTCTTTCTTTTCTTTTTAAAATAGCTCTTGAACTCTCAATCTCAGCCCTGCCCGAGTGGGCGCAGAGGGAGTTTAGGCGGGTGGGGTGCTAATTAACGCGGTGCCTGCGGAAGAGCTTTGTCAGGTGGAGCTGGCGCCCGCCTGTGTGCGTGGTGACTCACCAGCTGGAAGAGAACCTGGGTACGGTATGGAGTACTTGAACAGCAACAAATATTTGGCTTGAGTCATGCGTGGATGTTTACGGATTATCTGGAAGGAAAGCTGGAGCCACGACGATTCCTAAACAGGGGAAGACAGGTTGACACAGACATAAAAGCTAGCAGGGCGGGATAAGGCCCGCCCACCTGGCAGCTTCCTCGCTAAGGCTCTGTATTGATTTCTGACTCAGAGGGTGGAGCAGCGTGCAGTAGTCAATTGTTCCGAATTCTGCCCTTGTGGGACTCAGAGTCTCCCCTAGGTGGTCTCGGGAGGGACAAACTACTGCAGGCAGGGAGATGCCATTTCGCACATGGGGACCACTTCTGCAAGCCAAGGCTGAACTCTCCCCCCTCCCTCCCCTCCCAGGTCCTCCCCTGCCCTCCCTACCCTTCTCCTCTTCAACGCTGCCTCTTCAGGCCTTCAAAGATGGTAATTTGCAGATTAAGGGGGTACCAAAGGCTAATCTGAAAATTTATCAAATATTCATTACAGATGTCCTTACAATTGATTGCCAGGTTGTAACGATGGCTCAGTGGCAGCAAGCCAAATAACCTGAGTCCCATCCCTGGAACTGTTTTAATTATTTATTTATTTATTTATTTATTTATTTATTTATTTATTTATTTATTTATTTATTTATTTATTTATTTATTTATTTTGGCCTGGAGTGGTAGTCTTTAATCCCAGCACTCAGGAGGCAGAGGCAGGCAGATCTTTGAGTTTGAGGTCAGCCTGGTCTATATAATGAGTTTCAAGATAGTCAGGGCTCTGTAGAAAGACCCTGTCTCAATTAATTAATTAATTAAAAATGAAAACAAAAAATCTATTTCATCAAATGTAACTCAGTTAAAACAATGATATCAATCCATGTTAGAAAAGGTCCCAGAACTTGCCATCCCTTTTTGCTGTGAATCAGATTTCAGAATAACCAAATGCTAGGTGGATAAAGGAGTGGATATTAACATTATGAGTGAGGTAAATTTTGGAGGAAATCACAGAATCAGGAAATGATTGTGTTGCAGTTCCTTGTGGGTAGGTAGTGGTTATCAACATGGAAGTCTGCAGTGTTGAGATCGCCCGTCACCACCCGGCATCATTAACAATGTTCCTGAGTGGTGTGTACCTCCAGAGAAGAAAAAAACCAGTAGACAGCACCCCAGTGTGCTGGGGGAAAGCTGAACCCAAACCACATCCAGGCATAAACTATACTTCCTGATCTAGAGAGAAGATGGGGGAAGGGGAGGTCCAAGTTAGAGAGGGCGGTCCAAGAAAGGGGCCAAGCAAAGCTGAGATGTGGCATCTCCGAGAGATGACAGGCTTACCCCAAGTCAGTGGGGAAGAGAATACAGAGAGGACTCCTCCAGGTTACAAGGGATTGAGAGACACCAAATGCAGTGAACAGACTGGGTGGGCCCAGACTCTGCAGCTCCATGTCTGATGTCAAAGCACTCTTCAGATCTCCAACTCCTTTCAGCTTTTTGATGGCAGCACACGTCTTTCTCTTGAGTCGTTTCCACTCTGTTAGCAGTTCTCCTCAGCAGCTGTCCTGAAACTCTGGCATCTCCAACATTTTAGGGTCGCATAGGCAATCCAAACTTCAACTTCAGAGCTTCATTCAATGTCCTCTCTAGGTCTCCATGCAGGGACATCCCTGATACAGTCCTGGCCTCAGTGGCTTTCCTTCATCACAGACGGAGATTCCATGACCCCTTTCTCCTATCCTGACTCTAACCAGAACCACATGGCTGAAGTTGCCAAGTTCTGCTGCTTTCTGGGGCTGGAACATGGCCCCTCTCTTCAGTTACATCTTCACCAGCTTTCTGTTTTTGAAGGTTTTCTTCACTGCCTAAGCTTAGGTGTCTTGGAACTCACTCTGTAGACCAGGCTGGCCTCAAACTCAGAGATCCACCTGCCTCTGCCCCCAGAGTGCTGGGATTAAAGGTGTGTGCCACTATGCCTGAGCCTAGGCTTTTCTTTAATTCCCTTTCACAAGTTGGATGCTTAGCTGGGTGAGGTCTCACTCTGAGGTCACCACTCCCTTTATTCCACACAGCATTGGGCTTTTCTTTACTGTTTATACTTCCTGGTGCCCCTTTTCTCTTCAAATTGTACATTTTGTATTTTTCCTGTCTGAGCTTGTTCCTTTTTATTATAGATCTACACAAGCATGGCTACCAAAAGCAAAGCAACAGAGTCAACGCTAGGCTGTCTGGACATCTCCTCTGCCAAGCTGTACATCCATAACTCTTCAGTTTAGCCTCAGGCAGACTACTTGGACAAAGGCAGAAAACAGCCACATTCTTCCCCCAAATATCACAAGAACAGCCTCTAGGCCACATACTAACATTCTTCTCCTCTGAACCCTCTTGAGCTAGGCCCCCACAGTTCAAATCACCCTCAGCTCCACCATCTTCCATGTTTCTACTGGTATGGCTCATTAAACCCCCACCAAAGCATCCAGCTGCTTTTCTAGTCCAAACTCCCAAAGTCCACAATCCTTCAAACAAAAACATAGTCTGGTCTATCAGAGCAACACCCCACTCCTGGTACCAACTTTTGTCTTAGTTAGGATTTCTATTGCTGTGAAGAGACACCATGACCATGGTAACTCTTATAAAGGAAAGCATTTAATTGGGGCTGGCTTACAGGTTCAGAGGTTTGATCCACTGTTATCATGGCAGAAGCATGGGGGTACACAGCCAGCCATGGTGCTGGAGAGATAGCTCAGAGTGCTTCATCTGGATGGGAAGGTAGCAAGAAAAGACATTGGACCTGGCTTGAGTGCTCTAACCTTGAAGCCCACCCCCAGCTACACATTCCTCCAACAAGGGCACATGGACTCCAACAAGGGCACACCTCCAATTGTACCACTCCCTGTGAGCCCGGGGGGCCATTTTCATTCACACCATCACCCTGGAGCTTTGCTCTTGGACTTCGAGCCTCTAGAGCCGTGAGTCAATGGCCATCAGCTCTGTGGGGCTTTTCGATGAGAGCCCTATAGATGCCCTTACTACCCTATGATATATGTATTTATTTCCTTGTGGTTAATCTTCTCCTGCTAGATGTACACGGGGCAGTGCATTTTGTCCATTTTTTATCATTGGCTAGATCCACAGCACTTGACTATAACTGTATCTGTGGCAAAGCCTGACTAATTAGATAGACTAGGCCTTCAGTACATGCATGTGCAATGCAGAATCAATGGGGCATGTGGATTTAGATGCGTTTCATGAGTATCTGCTGGGTTGGTAGTATTTTTACAGAGTGGGTTGTTATGCAGCTCACCCTACCACTGAATGCTCCACCCTGTGACCTGGCTCCAGTTTCTGAACTGTGCCTGGAGATTGAGTGTCAGTTTGACCTGTAGAGAAGCCTCTCTGTGTTCCGATTCTCTTCCCAGCAAAGTGAACTCGGCACCCTCACTCCACATCCAGACACAGGGACATTTGAGGGAGGCTCCAAATGACTTCAGTGTGTAGAGAAATGGGTAAGGCCTGGAGAGATGGCACAGCGGTTAAAACCACATACTGCTTTTGTAAGGGAAACACATTTGGTTCGACAGTACCCAACTGTGTGTGACTCCAGGTCCAGGGACATCTGACACCTCTGATCTCTGCAGGCACCTGCTCTCATATGCACATGCTCATACACACAGTGAAAGTAAGATAAATATGTTTTAATAGGCGAATATAAGTGAGATTTTGGAGAGGAGAAACTATGGCTAAGAGTGGGGGGGGGGAGAAGAAAAGAAGGTATTGTAGGCTCCCTTGTCTCTTTCTAGGCTCATAGCACCTGTTGGAAACCACTGTTGTGGAGAAAATCCTATCTTAGGAGTTCTAACTTCCAAAGGGAGAAGTATGATGACATTGTCTCAAACTTCTTTGCCACTAAACACAGGCGTGTGGTTTGTTCTTCATCAGTTTAACACGCCCACCAGAGAGTTCTAGAAGAGGACTCACACTGACCTACTTTGAAAGTAGACAATGTAAGAATGTCAACAAACCACCCAGAATCTAGTTTCTGGAAAAGACACAGGGTTTTCTGGCAGAAGCGCTGTCTGAAAGGCAGGTTCTTGGAGCAGGCGTGGTACTGGCGAGAGGACTGTTGATGTAACCAATAGTCTTATTAAATAAGAAACACAGAAACAATGTAAAAGAGAAAGCCAAGAGGTCAGAGCTCAGAGCTAAAATCTCACCCTTCCTCCTGCGGTGTCCCAGCTTCCCGAAAGAGAGCTATTTCCTTGTGTGTCAGTCATTTCAAAGTCATTCTGCCTTCTCATTGGTTGTAAACCCAAACACGTGACTGCCTCGTCACTGTCTGTAAGTACAGCCCTCTAGGTCTTAAAGGCATATGTCTCCAATGCTGGCTGTATCCCTGAACACACAGAGATCTATGGGATTAAAGGCGTGTGCCACCACCGCCATGCTCTTTCTATGGCTCTAATAGCTCTGACCCCCGGGCAACTTTATTTATTAACATACAATCAAAATCACATTTCAGTACAATTAGAATACCACCACAGAGGACAGTAGCAGCAGCAGCAGCAGCAGCAGCAGCAGCAGCAGCAGCAGCAGCAGCAGCAGCAGAGGAAGGCCCTATTTGAAGTAGCAATGCTGTCACTGCAGCACCCAGCACCGAGGACGCTGGTGACAGTGTGGTTCTGCAGCACTGCTGTGAATGTCCTTCCCAAAGCACAGCCCTCTGCCTATTTCTCTAGTCTCCCTGATAATTCTGCAGGTACCTAAAACCCTTTGCATGAACTCCTTTGCTGTTTAACCACATAATTTTAAATAAAAGAGGTGCAGGTTGGTGAACCACAAAATATATGTTTTAAGGCTTACTGCTGGAAAGAGGATGAAAAGAAATTTTTTTTGTGTGGTAAAATACACAAAATATAAAATTTACCATTGAGCCATGTAAATTTGTAACATTAAGTATCTTCATTCACAATGTTGTGAAACATTGTTAGATCTGAAGTTAACCTATAATTCCCACCTGCTCAAGGTCCAGGTAACTTTCTGAGATTCTGAGAGTTGCAGTTCTTGGAAAATAACAGCAAAGCCTCATGGGAAAGTACAGTGACCTATGGGTTTTGCCCATATAAACTCTGCCAGCATGTATCTTGAGGCCACTTACCTGGCAGATTTCCAGGTGATGGTCCTGATCAAAATTCTATCTTGGTCATTATTTAATGTTTTAAATGAAAACTTGCCTGAATTCAGGCAAAATGATGGAACTTGTTTTTCTGGTGAATTTCAGGATTAACAATATCTCTACTACCCATTTCCAAAAGTTTGAAACTAAAAAATTTTAATAAGAATTCATGTCTTTGAGGGTTCTAGACTTATAGGCCTATTTTAATTCAAGTTAATGGGCATTAACTATCCAACTTCTACAGTGTAAGAACTCTGGCTGTTTTTGCCAGATTGCCAGAATCTAGCTGATGCCTGAAAAATATTTGTCTGATACTGAATGATCAAATGAGGTATTCTTTTTTAGATAAATAAGTAATTGTACTTAACATCTAAATATATTTTAGGCAAAGAAAATTAATTCCTTTTAGATACTAATTGACCTCAGACAATGCTAGGAAAGAGGATAAACTTGGAGCTTACAGAGATGATGTGACCTCTCCCAAGTAAAGCGGTTAGTCAATGTTACCCTTGAACTGTCCCGGGCTCTTTCTACCACCAGACTTCACATGTCAGAGAGGGTCCTTTGCTGGTAGTCTCTTTAATCTGCAATCAACAGCCTTTGAAAAGAAAATCCTTATCTGATGTTTCCTCATGTCCAGAGCCAAGAATTCTTGAGACTGAGTTCAAAATTCTTGGTGTCTCCTGAGGTTCCCTGAGCCTGTGTCTTTACCTCCTTGTTACCCTTCAGACACATTTTTTTTTGTTTTTTTTATTTTATTTTACAATTCCATTGACTTCTACATATCAGCCACGGGTTCCCCTGTTCTCCCCGCTCCCACCCCCTACCCTTACCCCCAGCCCACCCCCCATTCCCACCTCCTCCAGGGCAAATCGTCCCCCAAGGACTGCGATCAACCTGGTAGACTTAGTCCAGGCAGGTCCAGTCCCCTCCTCCCAGATTGAGCCAAGCGTCCCTGCATAAGCTCCAGGTTTCAAACAGCCAACTCATGCAATGAGCACAGGACTCAGTCCCACTGCCTAGTTGCCTCCCAAACTGATCAAGCCAATCAACTGTCTCACCTACAGAGGGCCTGATCCAGCTGGGGGCCCCTCAGCCTTTGGTTCATAGTTCATGTGTTTCCATTCGTTTGGCTATTTTTTTTTCAATAACTGAGTAAAGCCGAAATTTACTATAAGCCACAGTCGTCCTAGGGACCTCCATGCTATATATATAGCCTCCATGGTTCTATGGGTTGTGGTCTGATTGTTCTTTATTTTATATTTAGAATCTACTTATGAGTGAGTACATACCATGAAAGACCTCCGGCTGAGATCTTCCTCCGGGAGAGACCCCAAACCCAAGGAACACACCGAAACCACAG